ATGGCTGCCCACCAGCCGTCCGGAGGATCTAGCCCGGGGCAAGGATGGTCGGCAGCCCGGCCTACCCGAACCTCGCGGCGGATCTCCGGGCGGGGCGTCCCCGATCCGGTGATCAGCTCCGACAGCGACGTCGAGTTGGTGGAGGACCCGCGGGTAGAGCAACGGCGATGGCGGCTTCGCAAGGCGTTCAACCGGGCCGACGGACGCATCCCGACTGGCGCGGCGCAGGTGGAGTGGGCCAGTGAAGAGCCGCCCCAGGACCAGCCGGCTCCCGTTAGCCATGCCGAGGCTGTGGCAGCGGCTACGTGGGAGTTCCGGCGCAAGTGCGAGGCGCGAAGGCGAGACGAGGAGCGGCGGTTGAAGGAGATGGAGGAGACGCCGGAGTGGCAGGCCCAACTACGGATGGCCGAGGAGGAGGAGACGCAGCTGTGGGAAAACCCGGGGTACCCACCTACGCCGAGGTATGCGCCCGAACCCTGCACCCCGCCGCAAGAACTGGCAGACGATTGGGCGCCCTCGCCTCCGCGGTGGCTGCCCGAAATCCCGCCCACACCGCGGTACGAGGGGTCACCACGGTGGACGCCAGCGCGACCGCCCACGCCGAGGCACGAGCAGCAGCCACCGCAGCAGCAGCAGCCACCGCAGCAGCAGCCACCACCGCAGCAGCAGCCACCGCAGCAGCAGCCACCACAGCAGCAGCAGCCACCACAGCAGCAGCCACCACCGCAGCAGCAGCCACCACAGTAGCAGCCACCACCGCAGCAGCAACACATCCGGACAGACATACCGGCGGCCCACGTGAGCCACAGCACCCGGACGTTCGTGGCCGAAGGGGTAAGGTGGCGACAGCAGACGGTTGTCTGGACCTGGCCGGAGGGACCCGCGGAGGAGACGGCAGCGACGGAAGAACCCCGGATCTGGGAAGAATGTGGTCCCCGGGTGAGCCCGCTGGACCCCAGGACCCGTGGCAGACCGGAGCAGTGGGCACCACCGACGCCGAGCACCGGACCAACGACGCCGACGCCTACCGGGAGCGCAGTAACCGCGGAGCCTCTGGAGCGAGGACCCTGGGTGTGGCCTGAGCCCGTGCGGCCGTCCTCCGCTCAAGCGGCAGCACTCGGCGCCCGAAGTGTCCGAGGTGGTGGCCCGGCCGAAGTTGTCGCGGACGGTGTCGGCGCCGGAAGGCCAGCGATGGCGAGAAATCGCGGAGACGGAGTGGCCCGAAGGGATCGCGGAGACACCGGTGGTACAGGAGGCTCGCATCCTGGGCAGCAGGCGCAGCGTGCGCGTGTGGAGAGAGAGGCGCGCGTTCCGCGTCCGGTTGGGGCTGGCGGGCATGAGAGTGTTTGAGGTGCAGAAATAAAAGTTAAATAACACGAAAAACAGAGTTAAAAAAAAAACCGGCATAGAACGGGAAACGCGGCTGAAACAGGGGCAAGAAGTAAGGGGCATACATGGCAGCTTCAGCGTCCTGAAATCAATATTGGGTTAATACAGGAAGCAGCCAAGCGACACCAAAATACTTACCTGCAGCGAAGCAAATGCGAAGTCCTCTCCGCACCAGCTTTCGAGTGTTGCCAGCGTAAAGCCAGGCTCAGCCGGCTGAGGACGATTGAAGGGCGAGAGAGAGAGACGAGAGGCGAGAAAGGTCGTGTGGAGAGAGAAAGGATGAAATAGAAAGGAGTGAGGAAATGCGAAAACTTACCTAGAAAGTTGCAAAATCACCATGAGTCAGGGAAGGGGGCGCCTCGATAGGCGATCGATTGGCACTAGATGAAAAAGCGATCGATGGCTACACGTCAAATGGTAATATCGGCCAAAGGTGGAAATATCGCAACGAGCAGGTGGCAACGCCGCACCGTCGATATCGATATCGTACATCGATCACACCCGAATGGTGTGACCAGGCGGAGGAAGCAAATAAAAGGAGTAGAACGCAGCGATGAGCAGCGAGGTGGGGATCGATAGCACACGAGTATCGATGTCCCAGTGGAGTCAGGAAAGATATCGGCGCGGGAGATTCAAGTTGCTACGAGGAGGATGACCAGCGCTGTAGAAACTCAACGGAGTTAAGAGCGTCGTGGGAGCATCGAGGGAGCAACGAGGGAGCGCCGCGGGAATCACAAGGACTCGAAGGCTAGGATAAACAAGAAAACGCCGGAGAGTAGGAACGAGTTTAAAATGTTTCCCGAAGTAAGGGGGAATGTGAGGAGTTGAATAACTCCCCACAAATAGAAACAGCAGCAGATGGCCGGCCGCTTGCCAGATACGCGGCGAATTTGCGTAGTAACGGCGCGGCGAGGAGAGCGAGAGAGTTGGGAGACCAACGAAGGAGAGCGAGAGAGTTTGGAGACCAATTAAGGAGAGCGAGAGAGTTTGGAGACCAACAAAGGAGAGCGAGAGAGTTTGGAGACCAATGAAGGAGAGCGAGAGAGTTTGGAGACCAAGGATGGAGATCGAGAGAGAGTGGAGACTTCGCGGGCAAGGCAAGAGTGCCGTGTGCAAAAGCGGGTAACGGAACTCCACCGGACTTTGGACTCTCCCGTGAACTTTGGACCGGGAGAGGAAGTGCCACATCTCGGCGGTGTAGCGGCACACAGGCGTGCCACAAGCATCACGGGAATCAGCGGGATGGCAGCAGTGGGCGGAGCATCGATTGGAAGCGGTACGGGAACGACAAGTGGGTCATCCAGGAGGCACGGACTTTGGACCCAGAGTGGAGAGATCCAGCGGGCCGTGCGCAAGAGGGAAATAACGGTTCCCGGAGGCCCTATATAAGGCCGCAGAGCGCTGGCAGCTGGATCAGTCGATCACAAGGAGTCAAACCGTCAAGATCACTCAGATACCAAAGTGAACAACCAAACAACCAGATAATCTACAAGGGAGCAGCAGCAAGTCGAGTCGCCAGAGAAGCAGCGCCGTGGGAGTCTACAAGGAGCGAGATTGCTACGTCGAGACGTTCGGGATTGGGATACCAGGAATCTCCGAATTGAGACGCAGGTAGCTGAGATCCAGAGGGCATCACACGGCTAGGTCAAGGCGGTCGATTAACCCTGTCCACAAAGTCCTGGCGTTACGCCTGGAAAGAGTATAACAAGCCAGAAGGGAGAGCGGTCGATCGGTAAGGTCTCGAGTGAAATTGTCCAGGAGAGTCCTACGGATTCGACTTGCGAGGTCCCGGAGCGGCGTGCCCGAACCACGAGTATAACAAGCCAGAAGGGAGAGCGGTCGATCGGTACGGTCTCGAGTGGAAATATCCACGAGAGCCCTACGGATTCGACTTGCGAGGTCCCGGAGCGGCGTGCCCGAACCCCGAGTACCAAAAGCCACACGGAAACGTCCCGGACAAAAGGCAAAAGGGTGAGGCTAGGGTGGAACGTTCGTTTACACTAGGCGTGGAAGCGAAGTAAGGCGCGAGGCAGCTTCCTGGCGTTCCGCCTTGACTGTCCGCGCGGGCTGAGCAGAAACCCAGTGGGACCATCCGGGACAGAGCAAGGGACAGGCGGCGGTGTGTCGAAAGGAGCGATCCTGGAGAGCGCAGCTTCTGTTCACCCTAGTCTGAGAACGGTGACGCTTTCCTAAGCCCGTACGGCCGATACCCCTCGCGATTCCGAGTCGTTACCAGCAGTCACCAAGCCACGCGTGACAAGTGAGCAGCGAGCGAGCGTCTTCAGGGAGCTGCGAGGATCGTCAGGGAGCGGCGAGGATCTTCAGGGAGCTGCGAGTATCTTCAGGGAGCTACAGGACTGGAGCACCGAGTCGTCAAGGCGGGAGGACGTCGAGTCAATCAGGGCCGTCGGAAGCACCGAGGGCCACAAGCAACGAGGTCAAGGCCAACCAAGCGACTAAGACACTTGTAATAATATACCCGCAATAAAACCCAATACGAACCCGTGAATTCTATGCTTTCTCACTGAGCTACTGGGCGGTCACGTTAATATAAATTGGTGGGACGAACACACAATATACTGAGCTAGCCGCACGAATCTCGTAGCGAGCAGACCATAAAAATCAGTTCGTTACAACATGTACACCAAGAGGCAATCCCAACTTTCGGTTTGAATTCCGGGCATTTCTAACGCCGTGAGGCAACCCTGGATGGTGCTTTGAAGTTCACGGATGCTGACCCAGATTTCTGATTAACGCACTACAATTTAAAAAGTATTTAATTAGCTATTTACTAAGAATCGCTGGTTCTTGAAACGTTCAGTCACTACAATTAAAAAGTATTTAATTAGCTATTGAGCGAGGGCCATCGTTGGTAAGGGGAGATCGAAACTATGTTGCGTGCATCGCCACTTGTTTTTTCATTCAGGTAAAATAGTTTTTCGACTGGCGTCAGCCTTGGATTATTTATATAAATGGCCGTAAGCAGATCCCTAAAGGTCGGCCAACGCAGGTAATCTCCGGCGAAAACCTCGGTATCGCACGGAGGCAGCCGAAAGCCAGAGGAAATGTAGGTCTGGGTAGAAACATATCTGCGATATGAGCACCACATCTTCCGTAAACGGAATAGCAATATCTGTATTAAGGCGCGTATTTTATTCGCGGCGAATGTTAAGCACCGAAAGAGTAGGAGGCACCGGCGAAGGAGTTTTTGCCCTAGATAACGGTGGAACGAAGTGTCAACAAGAAAAAAAGGTCGTGGATCGGATCAAATAGAAATGGGAGCACTGACCGAACATTAAATACACACATACATACTCTGCAGTACCATTCAGCACTTATTGAGCACTCAATCACTGCAAAAAGCTCATCACTGAGCGCTCAATGAGCGCACAATTTGTATGGAACTAAGTGCTTAAATTAACATAGGCATGTCCCTAGGGTTCATCAGTGCTCATAAAATAGCACGCATTGAGCTCTTTTTTGAGCACCCTTTTGAGCGCTTTTTTGAGCAGCAGAAAAGCGCACATTCAGCACACGTTAAGCGCTCATTCAAGCGCTCATTCATTCAGCACACGTTGAGCGCTTAGCAGCAAATAAAATTTCAGTTGTAATTTTTTATTTTTATTTGTTTATTTTAAAATTTGAGCTCGGGGGTTTCCGGTGTTATCGGGGTCGCTGGGCACCTCCTTCTCAGCATCTGGTGCCGGCGTTGCCTTTTTTTTTGGTACAACTCAAGTTTTTAACGCACCGCATTGCCTTCTGCAGCGCCTTTTCGGGAGGCTCCGAGGGATCCACCAGGGCGATTGCATCTAGTATTAGAAAAAAATTAGTTTTAAAAATAAAACAAGACGAGAATAAAAACGAGTGACCGAAAGTAATCGTTATTTGTAAGATTTATTTATAATAAAAAAAATGTTATCTTTGGGCATTCTATGTAAAAATCCCAGAAGTCTTTTAAAAATTTAACTTACAAACAATAGTTTTCAGCCTCAACAAAAACTTACTTAATAAGGCACGGGCGAAATTTGGGTAGTCTGAGCCTCTTCTTGTTTTGCCCCCCTCCAAGTTGTGGTACAGAACAAGTTCCTCGGATAATATGCTTAAGATGGAACGACTTAGCCTTCCATTTTTTATAGATTTGCCAATAGCCTTGTCTAAAAATATAAGAAAATTAAAAAAATATCGAGAAGAAATTTGCAAACTTTTGTTTTCGGTCACTTGATTTATTTTATTTTGTTGTAAAAAATTATTTATGTATTTTTTTTATTATTTATTAAATCATTTATTTATTTTGCAGATGCGGAAAAAATACCACTTTCCAGGGACGGAAAATTAGAGATGTTTGAGATTTTATTTAAATAGCCATGTTTGTTTACTTTACACAAAAATAAAAATTGTGCTTTAATGTTATTAATACAAAAAATCATAAGTTATAAAAACAAACATCTCTTATTTTTGGTCCCTAGGAATTAGCACTCAATAAGATTTTCAAATTTTTCACAGATTCATTCATTTGTTTATTTATATGCATCATTTGTTGTTTTTCACGTCAAAAATTAATATTTTTCACAGCTATTTTTTTCCGCCACGTGTTTTTTGGGGAATCTTGTATTTTCCATTTTTTTTAATATACATTAACTTGTTTTTACTCTCACTGATTAAATTAATATTGGTCTGCGACAGACTTACATGGGAATCGTATAGGTATCACTTTTAAACCACTGGTTTATTTTATTTAACTACCTTAATTGCGTGCAATTCTAACTCCGTCACATAAGTAAACCCAAGTGAAAAAGACGAAAAAGTCGCGTGCCTTCCAGAAAAACAACAAGCAACAACAACAACGGTTTCCGCTAATCCGTTGTTGTTCTGTTTTTTTGGCATGTCCCGTTTGGGTCTATGCATCTTGCACATAAAAGCAGCGTATTTATAGACATATCCGACTATGCAAATCGGTTTATAAATATATTCTTAAAACTTCACATATTATTAAATAATATTAATAAGCCTATACATTTTTTTAAGAAATACAATATTTTAAAACAGAAACCTATTATTTTAAATGGTTGTTTTATCATTTACGAACAAATGTCGCATTATTCAAAAGGCAAGGGTGACAAAGTCTATATATTTTAGTTGCTGGGCCTTAGAGGTGTCAAAACATTGATGTATTGAGACATCGATGTTTTCGATGTTTTTCACCCCAAAACATCGATAAACATCGATGTTTTAAAAAATTAAAATTTTATTTTGGTAATTCTTAAATAGTCGGGCCGGACTAATTAACAAAAATCCATATTTAGAGGGCGATTAATCATGAATTTTGATGTAAAATTATTTTGGGGACGCGCTTAGTTTAGCCAGGAGAAATTTTTAAAGTTTGCCCAAATTGCACTTAAAAAACCGTTGGCGATCGCCGAAAACCAACAGCGGGCACGCACACAGACACACCACACACATAATTTTACGTTAATGTTAATGTTTTTGCTTTTTTCTTATTGTTTTTATTTTTGTTTTGTTGGTTTTGTTTTTAGTAATTTGCAATGATTTAAGTTGCATTTAACATGTGTGTTTTAAATAAACACCAATAACTGTAAGTGTATCTTCACTTATACACAAAATATACATACATTTATGCTTATATGTGACAAGTATATAATCATTTGAAATTTTCAACTCTTTAATGAATATTATGTAGCCCTGAAAAGGGTCGATTTGGTAAAGAGGAAAACTTTAAAAATTTCTCCTGGTCTCCAATAATTTTTACACCAAAATTCTTGATTCATCGCCCCTAAATACGGATTTTTGTTAATTAGTCGGGTCGTTCCGGCCCGACTATTTAAGAATTACCTAAATTTTTAAATTATTAAAATAGTGTGCATTTTAATAATTTAAAAAATTTAGGTAATTCTTGTGGTTGTATTAAAAATAGAAAACAAAACATTTATTCACTGGTGTTTTAGACTGAGAGGAGAGATCATTTCGGAGATCATTTCTTTATAACTAAATTAAACTTTTTAAGAAAACTATAATTTTTGTTAATAAACATAAGTTTGTCTATTACTAAAAAACAGCAAAAGAAGAACTTTAATATTATAATAGAAAAAATGAAAAAAAATCTGCTCTTTTACGTACCTTTCCTTTGCCTTTTTTCTTAATAGTGACGGCACAGAAACATCGATGGTTGAAAAAAAACATCGATGATTTAGAAAATTTCAAAAACATCGATGCATCGTTGTTTTCATCGATGTTTTGACACCTCTACTGGCCTCCTTCCCATCACAACCGCACTTTTCCGTCTGAGATATGGCGAGAGAGGGAGAGCCCCAAAATTACTTTTTGTGCGTTCTCTTTGCGGACCCGACTGAGAGCGCGTCGCTTTGCCGCCGTTGCGCTCAGCTCGCCGGCGTCGCTGGCTTCTCTGCCGACGTCGCAGTCGGCTTCGTGATGATTGGGCGCTTAACTCAATTGTGGAACTGCAGGGTATGTGCATTTTCACGGGTCGCGAACGTACGTTTGTACGCACTTAGTGCAAATAAAAAAAGAAATAAGAATTTAAACTGTTTTTGGCGGTTTCTAAGGCTGTGTAAAAGAAATGAAAGAAGAAATAAAAAAAATGAAAAGATTGTGAAGAAGGAGTAATGAGTTTTTCACTAAAAGAATAACTGTTACCTTAATTGGCCGCGGCACGTCAAGCAACTGTGAGTGCTTACGCAATCACGCAGCTAATGTCCTCGTGCGAAGCAGTTCAGACACAGCTGCTTTCTCTTTATATATGACCACCGCTCGTCGACCGTCATCTGGAGAAATCGTGCACATGTGCGGACAGGATAGTTTTCCTTCTTACAAATGTCACATCCTGTGGCTTGTGTGCTACCCATTTCTCGACTTTATTCTTCGAGACGCTGCACTGGAGGCGGATGCTTTCAGCTGAGATTGACTCGAACCTGACGGTCGAACTCATCTATGGCTTCTAAGGTCCGGCGACGCTCGGTAAGGAATGCGTTCAGCTCTGCCACATCGGAATCTCGGCCTTGTTGTGCAGGGGACTGTTCACGCAATGCAAGAGTGAGCTTAGACAGTTTGGAAGAGCACATGTACACCAAGAGGCATCCCAATTTTCGGTTGGAATTCCGGGCATTTCTAACGCCGTGAGGCAACCCTGGATGGTGCTTTGAAGTTCACGGATAGATAGATTTCTGATTACGCACTACAATTTAAAAAAGTATTTAATTAGCTATTTACTAAGAATTGCTGGTTCTTGAAACGTTCAGTTAGGTTAGCCAGGCTGAGCGAGGGCCATCGTTGGTAAGGGGAGATCGAAACTATGTTGCGTGCATCGCCACTTGTTTTTTCAAAATAGTTTTTTCGACTGGCGTCAGCCTTGGATTATTTATATAAATGGCCGTAAGCAGATCCCTAAAGGTCGGCCAACGCAGGTAATCTCCGGCGAAAACCTCGGTATCGCACGGAGGCAGCCGAAAGCCAGAGGAAATGTAGGTCTGGGTAGAAACATATCTGCGATATGAGCACCACATCTTTCGTAAACGGAATAGCAATATCTGTATTAAGGCGCGTATTTATTCGCGGCGAATGTTAAGCACCGAAAGAGTAGGAGGCACCGGCGAAGGAGTTTTTTCCCTAGATAACGGTGGAACGAGGTGTCAACAAGAAAAAAAGGTCGTGGATCGGAACAATAGAAATGGGAGCACTGACCGAACATTAAATACACACATACATACTCTGCAGTACCATTCAGCACTTATTGAGCACTCAATCACTGCAAAAAGTTTATCACTGAGCGCTCAATGAGCGCACAATTTGTGCTTAAGTTAACAAAGGCATGTCCTACGGTTCATCAGTGCTCAACAACTAGCATGCATTGAGCGCTTTTTTGAGCGCATTTTGAGCAGCACACGTTCAGCACACGTTTAGCGCTTGATTAAGCAGCAGAAAAAGCGCACGTTCTGCACATTTTCAGCGCTTGTTTATATATGTGCATTTCCACGGGTCGCGAACGTACGTTTGTACGCACTTAGTGCAAATAAAAAGAAATAAACGCTTTCGAAATATTGTTTTTGCTATTCGATAGCATTTTGTTAGCTCTTTGCTTAGTGTAAATTGTGGAGTTCATTGAGCTATCGTTTTCATAATATTGCCAAAAAACATGCGGTCGCGAACGTACGCAAAGTGGAAGTCGATTGGGCTTAATCTAGTAAAATGCAAAAATTGCTTTAACTTTACTTTTAATATGGATTCATGTAGCTTTATTTTTTATTGAATTAAATACCCGGGTCGCGAACGTAAAAGTATTTCCTATTTAAAGTTGCTAAATTTGAAAAATAGTATTTGTTCTTAGGTTTCAGGGAAATTTCTTCAACAAACAAATAAGGTATGCTATGGTTCCACAGTATTATGGAAACATGGCCATTTATTTACGACAATACGCAAAAAATAAGATGATTATGAAGATTTTTTTGTTTCGGTCCTGGTTGACCATTTGACGGATATGCCCATACTCGTAGATAGAGATTCCAATGGTTTCAACTTAAGTGTCGCAGTTAATTATTTTATATTTAATATATTTTTTATTATACATTCCTACACCCCCATAACCGTCATTACGGGGCTAAATACGAAATTAAAATTAGCAAGACTGCACATAGCATTATTTTTAATCCAAATTTCGGACAAAAGAGCAATGTCAACATTGTTATTGACTAAGCTGTTTGTTATTATTGGCTGTCAGACTTTGAATATTATACTAAAAAATTTTCATGAAAACAGAAAACAAATAAAAAACAGAAAAAAAATGAATGTGAGCATATGTGAATATATACTAAATATTATTAAGTGTGAACATAATGTTATATTTTGCATTATATTTTAGTGTGTACTTTCTATAATGTAACTTTATATTAAGCATCGATAAGATAACAGATATCGATTCCATGGTCAACTCGATTGTCGAGATATATAGGCCACTTGTAATTGAAGAAGAAGAGAGAACACGCGGAACGTTAAAAGAGAAGAAATAAAATCATTAAATTAAAAAGCATCATTCTCATAAAAAGTAAACATAAGAAAAAATGCTTCTAAAAACAAAGAGACAAAAATATAAATAATAAATGAAAAAACATGAACGCCATTTTTGCACATCAATTTCAGAATTTGTTTTGGCAATACGTGTTCTTAGATCTTCTAAAAATGTACTAGCATCAGCAATTTTCTAACAAAAACGAAGAAATTTGAGAGAAAATGGAATTTAAACTGTTTTTGGCGGTTTCTAAGGCTGTGTAAAAGAAATGGTTTGGGAGGGAGAAAGGCTTTGTTGTTGTTGAGAAAAAATGAAAGATTGTGAAGAAGGAGTAATGAGTTTTTCACTAAGAGAATAACTGTTATCCTTAATTGGCCGCGGCACGTCAAGCAGCTGTGAGTGCTTTCGCAATCACGCAGCTAATGTCCTCGTGCGAAGCAGTTCAGAAACAGCTGCTTTCTCTTTATATATGACCACCGCTCGTCGACCGTCATCTGGAGAAATCGTGCACATGTGCGGACAGGATATTTTTCCTTCTTACAAATGTCACATCCTGTGGGCTTGTGTGCTACCCATTTCTCGACTTTATTCTTCGAGACGCTGCACTGGAGGCGGATGCTTTCAGCTGAGATTGACTCGAACCTGACGGTCGAACGTCATCTATGGCTTCTAAGGTCCGGCGACGCTCGGTAAGGAATGCGTTCAGCTCCTGCCACATCGGAATTCTCGGCCTTGTTGTGCAGGGGACT